AAAACGATCTAGCATGAGGTTAGACATATTATTTTTGTAAATGTGGCATGGTCTTATTTCACATGGAACTTTTGCAATTAAACACTCTTAAATCAAGAAGTTTTACATATTTCAAGTTGACAAAAATTCTTATCGATGAAGAAAAGCACCTTGCACCACTGTTCTTGGACTGCATACACCTCAAATTTCTAATTTGCTTTACGTGCCTGCAAACTAGATTGAATAGAGAAATTTATCTTAAATTGTTTGCATTCACCCAAAGTTTTACCTTTCTTTCGAAGTTATACATAGATAGGTTTAAAAAAAGCTTTGTGATTGGAAGTTTATAATCTACTACGATCTCGACAAGGCCAGTAGCAATAGATTCCGGTGATATATGTTGGGAAATCTTCTGTTATTATGAATTGTAATTTTTTCTGCACTACTTATTGTTTTACATATGACTTTCTTCCTTGCCACAGGTTGGACAATCTCATAATGGAGGCCATTAGCAATTTGAGGGAGCCTGGTGGTTCTAACAAGACTACTATTGCTACATACATAGAGGTGGTTTTATTGTTAATGCAGATTTATTCATTTTGTGAACTAAGATAAGATTGCCAGGTACTTTATTGTAAATTGTATCACCAAGTTTTATAAATATTCCGACAACCAACTATTTATATCACCCAAGTAGTCGTCCATAATTGTTACATAGTGTGGAAGCCTCTCTAAGCTTTAAGATTGAGATTTATTGCTCCATACAGTTGTTTCTGTTCTTGCCCATTGCATTTTCTATTACAGCCTTCAGTGGTGTTTGTTTTGTAGGAACAATACTGGGCACCTCCAAACTTTAAGAGACTATTGTCTGCAAAATTGAAGTTTTTGACTGCAAGTGGGAAACTTATCAAGGTAATTCTAACCCCCTTATTGCCACATATCTAAGGTGTAATGGTCTCAGACATGGTGTCCAGTAGCTGTGTCAAATTGACTTTGATGACATGAAACTAGTTTATCACCAGAAGATATGGATCTTATCTTTCATGTTTTACTTTTCAATACAAGAAGTATGGACAGTTGCTTGATCCATATGGTGCCCATCGAGTATGCCAATCTGCAATATAGTTTAACATGTTGGGCTTACTCATTAATAAATTTACTAAAAGTCATATTTGGTTCTTGAATGAGTGAAGAGTGTCACTTGGATGATTGAATTCTCTGCAAGGGGATGCAGATAATCTTATTGCAAGAGCCTCTCTATTATTTTCTAGGTTCTGATTTTTGTTGACAATTTTTAGCTACTACTCATTAGTAAAATTAGCATATTTGAGTAAATGAGGGCTGTTGCACACCCACATCCCATCAGGACATGCGCTTTTTTGAAAACCATAATAATTACCAAAAACGATATCAGAGGTCACCGTCTTCCTTATGTAACAACCGTTATTAAATCCATTATAAGAAAGAAGGTTTTCCAGTGTTGTCACTATCCCTCTTCTACTATACTATCAAAAAAGCAGATGTAGCCCAGAGCTTCAAACACACTAAAAAGTGGGAATAAAGTAGTTTACCCTCATGATAATTACTTAAAAATAAGAAAAACACATAAATTATGTAAGAATTACAGTATGAATTATGAGTGGATAAATTCCAATAAAAAATATTAGAAACCGATATCGTTATGCTGAGGAGTTCCAACATTCATTTGAATCCCCCAGAAAAAATTGATGCCTATGATCCCCATTTTTGTTGCATAATCCTTTATGTTCATTGTTCTTTAAAATCGTGCTTCTTACTTGTTCGTTTTTGGGTTCTGCTTAACTGCACAATTAATTATATAGGCTGCTTTAGCAATTTAGTTGCACTGGAGTTGAATTCTGATTCAGTAATGGTTGAATTGGAGTGCATATATTTGCAAGCCTCCAAAGATATGGGGACTCCCTTTCTCACCCTCTTTTTCCTTTTGCTGTGTTGTATGTCTGGTTATTTTAACTAGGCATCTCTTGAGCAGCTGGCCATGCTTCATGTTGTCAATCCTAGTTCCTGTTCTTATGGAGCTGAGTCAAGCTAAGAATCTAGATGAGCTTTTAGGATTTACGGACAGAGAAGAGAAAAAGGTTTAAACAATGAGAACAAAAACCCTAACAACAAATCCATAAAGTTGAAACAATCCCATTGGGTTAATATTTCTCTCTTTTCATCCTTTTTTTTGTTCGTTTCTATTTTGGTTTCAACTTTTCTCAAGTGCATGCTTACTGCATTGGGTGGTATAACTTCCGAAATTTTGGTTTGGAAATATACTGAAAAAAGGATCTGTGTTCCTACTGTTCAAAAAAAAAGGATCTGTGTTCCTCTTTCCTTCTCTAAGTTCTTTCCTAAAGCATTTGGACATTAGAATTAGTCATTAAACTTTTCCTCTTTCTATTCAATTGAACTTGGGGATAAATCTGGACTTATGCTGGAATAGGCTTAGCCGCTTAGGATAGTTTTGGTTAAACAAATCAAAGATCAAACCACTTGTAATTCGCTCTTCTCAGATACTCTAAACCATTACATTTGAAGTTGGACATCATTGGAAATTAAATATTGTCTCAATTCTCATGAAATGGAATGTGGACATTGCTGAAAGAAAAAGTGAAAATTTGTAGCTAGCAATGTACACTATTGGTACTAAATGCATTATCGCTAGTACCTACTCATCAATACTACAGATGGGTAGCATGTTGCTAATAATGAAGTAAATTAGGCTCCTAACTAAATGCAATATGTTATATGTGATTTTTGACTTGACAGAAGGTGTGAATTTGCATTCAACTATTGAATGTTGGAGTGTGATCAAAAAAAAAAAAAACTAGTGAATGTTGGAGAGGGTTGTTTTGGAACTACTAGAAATGAGAAAAAATGGAGAACTGAGGTTAAGGTCAGCCTACCTGGAATGGTTAGAGAGCACATTGGAGGAGGAGGAATGCTTTTATATTTGTTACCGGTTTTAAGTGATGTAGATTGTGCCTACAATTCTTGTAGGTGGTTATGTACCTGAATTACCATATTACTCATAGATTTATACAATTTCTGCTTTGGTACCTCAATGACACAATTCCTCATTGGGTCTCCTGATCTGGCCAATGCCACTTAGACTCTCTACAGTTTATACCTTTGATCATATTTACCTAAAGTCTCTCAATGAGTTTAGTTTTCTTAAAGTCGTTTTATTGTATTTTAGAAGTCCACTTGCTTCTGGGCTTGATTTTAATCTTAGGTTTGTTATTGCTTTTGGAGACGAAACGCAAGTACAGAATTGCACCAACTTCAGCATTATCTGACAAAAGAAGACAGCCTTCCTTGTTTCTTTTGGAGGGAAGGCAGCAAAAGGCTTCTCCTAAAATTGATAGGGATGATATGAATGTTCATACCAAATCACAGATTGATCTAGAGTTAGCAAAGATGAGGAGTATGACTCCACAAGAGGCTGCTACAGCTGCTGCTCAAGCAGTTGCTGAGGCAGAAGCTGCCATAGCAGAAGCTGAACAGGCAGCAAGGGAGGCAGAGGCAGCAGAAGCCGATGCAGAAGCAGCGCAAGCTTTTGCAGAAGCAGCAATGAAGACACTGACAGGGAGAAGCACCCCAAGGATGGTAAAGTATTCATGCGTCACTTTCTTTCCGGTGTAATTCCTTAAGTTGAGTTGCTTGAAAAGCTTTATTGAGGATTTTCAGTATTACATAGGGAAAATTTGGTCACCTCTTCTTTCTTTTTTGAGAGAATTTCCTTCTGTTGATAAAAGGCAGAACCTCACTTTTGATTGGTCCAAAAAAGAATTCATGTTTAGCCCACAGGTTCAGGTTCCAGATAATATTTTGGTCGAAACTCTCCAGGGAAAAAACTTGGTTAGTCCTCAAATTGCTCAGCTTAGGTCAGCAATCAGAACTACATAAACTGTGCCAGCCTATAAAATATGCTGTTATTTTCCTTCTGTCTGTTAATAAAACTAAAGTGATGGCATCATAGATTTGGTAACTTGGGTGTCTCAGACTATATTCATACGTTAAGGATTTTAACCGCTTTGTATCTTTCTTTTGACTTGTGTTTCCTACTCCTGTCAAGGAAAAAGGTATTGTATCCCCAGTCCTATATCAATTAGTTTTGCTTTGATTTATTTCTCCCTTTGATTAACTTATGTGTGTACATAAATGTGCAGATGATTCGTGCTTGATGGATATTTACAAAATGGGTTATGATGATACCTGAAGCGGAGCATTTTTTCGTAGTAACCAAGTTAGGTTAGGTTATTTCAGCCAACTTTGTTTGTAGTTATATATATGATTAGTCTTTTGTGGCCAGTGAAATCCAGTGTGATCTTAATTCACCAGATCAACTACGTGGACAATTTTTTTTTTTATAGAGAATTACATGCATGGAAACTTTTGCATACTTTGGAAAGCTTGTTCCTTGGTAAATTGGTATGAACAGTTTTTGGGAGCTTAAGGTTGTATTCCTCGGATATTGTAAATAGAAGATACAAAGAAATAGTAATAGTTGGATTCTGGCTGCAATGTTTGTTTGGTGTTTCATGTATATTATTCTGACCACTTTTGGGATAGAAGAGTATGTAATTTAGCTGTTTTGCACTTGTGACCAAGTTTGGGCTTGAATCTTTTTTTTTTTTTTTGCTAAAATATAAATTGAGATTAAGGGAAAAGAGGATTACAAAATATATAATCAAGTATCAAGGCTCGGTTAACGCCCAAAGGCCTTACAAGGTAATTCTCAACCTAGACCACCTCTGCTTACTGCATTCCCAACTGGTTAAGCTCATAGCCTCATGCAAAGCTTAGCTTGACCAGGTGATAATTTTCCTCACATTTAATATGAGTGTTAGATATGAAATTAGCAAGATAGGGTTGATTAGTTTTCAACACAATTGAAAATGACGGGATTTGCTAACACATAGAATAAACGAGTTGGGTTGGTGCCAAATATGGAAAGCTTGATTTTGACCAAGACAAATCCATTTGACATGGTGTTATACAAAAACCAAATTGTTTTATTATTGAACTTTTTTCATTTCTTAATTTGATATATATGAACATTCGTAGAAAAATTTCACTTTATGAAAGACGTATGGGTGATGGATTTCGTGGAAAGTGATTGAACTCCTAGTCATTGGTTTTTGATTTACGGGTGAACACAAGTTTGGTAAATATGTTGAGTTAGTATTAAATTATTTGAAAGATCAGTTTGGATTGATTAATGCTCAATACGAATTTGAAATGACACTGGCCAAAATACTGCACAATTCGACTGAAACCCTAACTTATGAGTACATGTTTGTTAAAACTTAAAAGGGCCAGCTTAAAATAAACAGAATTCCAAGCAACAATGTTTCATTATGCAAATGCTGAAACAAGTGACATTTCAAGTTACCCAGACTTTCAACACATTCACACAAGAACCCCATGACAAACTACAAAGCCCAAACAATGACCCAAAGCATCATTGTTGCCCATTTTAGAACGCAAACAATTCAGACTAAACCATTTCAACAATGCAATGAAACAGCATGTTTGCAAAGGAAAGCAGAAGAGAGAGAAAACGAAGACGACAGTTCAAGTAGTTCACGAAGCGACAGCAATTTCCATGGAAGTTGGCAGTGGCTCTTTTTCCGAGTCGGTCTCGAGCTGGCTGTAATTTCCTCTCTCCTTGAAGAGTTGGGTGTGGTGGTGCTTGCAGTAGAGTCTTCCCTCATGAGCAATGTAGTTGGATGGGCTTATTGTACAACCTCCACGGGTGCATTTGAAACAGCTCTTGTGGTATGCTGTTCCATTGACACTCACCTTTAAAAGAAAACAATGTTATTCCCTAAATAATACTCTCTCTGGGGATTGAAATCTTATTTTATCATGCAAATTCACATCATGTTTCTAGACAAAGAAATTCAAATCCTATATGTATACTAATTGGGCTTTTTGTTGAGATGAGAAGGAAATTCAAGGTGACCAAAAATTTGTTAAATTTAGCAGATATATCGGAAATGAAATGCTTCAAATCATAGAAGAGCGTAAGAGAGAGATCAAAGAGTAGTCCTTTTTTCATGTCCTTTGCAAGGGATTCCTTCCTCTCTATGCCTATCCTGATCTACGCTCATCCCTTCTTTCCTTCTTCCTAGGAGTTAAAGGTCTTATTTCCTTAAACTGTCTGAAGGCACTAGGTACTGGCCATCAAAGAAAGGCCTAGCCGAAGAAGAGGTATTTAGGCAAAATGGGTCGAAGCATGCATTTACAGACATGAATGCTATATCCTGTTCAAATAGGCCAATAAAAAAAGATATGGAATTCCCAGCCGTGAAAGAAGTTGGCAGAGAATGACCAGAGGTACCTAATCGACTAGTTTAAATTGAGAAATTTTGTCTATTATAAGTTGAAATGTCATTCTATGATCGGTCTCCGAGCCAAAAACTTCAACATGGAGAGCCAATATAGGGAAACATTAAGACTTTGGCGGGGGTCAAAAAAAAATTACACAAAAATAAGTGGTAAAAATTTTAAATTTTCCGGACTTTGGCCCCACTAGGCCCTAACATAGCTCCGTCCCTGGACCGTGATTATGCAGGTATTTATGCTTTCATCATATATCATAAACATGATATTCATCAAATACATGAAGAGTTGTGTTTGTTACCCTCTCAATTGGATAGGCAGTCTTGTTACACCCCACACATTTCTCCCTGGTGCCTCCAAAGAAACTTGACACTTTGTTTGCAGTAGCATTCTGTACAACATATTTCATTTCTTAGTTTAATTAGTTCAAAGCCAACAGTGATCACATTTTCGAATTTTTTTATGAATTTTTTGATACCATCTAATGATTTTATAACAATCTAAGTTTTAATATATCACCTCGTTGTCAACAAGCTTTTCGGGTTTCGAGATTTTTGGAGTTCCTGAAAGAATATTTAGAAAAGAAAGCAGATTGAAATAAGGGTCGAAGATGTTATTTATATATATAACTATTGAAGAATGGATTTTTCTTTTTTTTGTATTTTTTTGTTTGGATTTACCATCAAAACTCTTGTTCAGGCTGCCAGTTCTTTTGAAGAGCTGATCAAAGTGAGGCCTGCAGTACAGAACCCCCTCAAAAGAGTTGAAGCTGCCAAGCTGCCAAGGAAAATCAAAACACATAAGAGCTCTTTATTGTTGGCTTTGAAAATGACAATTTTTTTTATTTCCACAACAATTAGTGGAATAAATTTAGAATTTGTTCTTTTATTCATACTACTTCTTCCCCTTTTTTTATCCCCGAAATATTAACATTTATTACGGGTCCAACTCCCTTGCTGTTATAAAAATAATAGCATAAGTGATATTGATCAAAACAACATCCTTTTGATGCAAAACGACATCGTTTTGATGTAAAATGACATGGTTCCATTTAACAAAATAACACCGTTTTAATCAACAACACCTCCGTTGTTAATTTTTTAACAACAGAGGATCCACGACCCAAGTATTACAAGGTTTGATTATTTCAATCAATATCCAAAAAATCCAAGAAAATCTAATTTTAAAAAAGAGGTTTAATGCAACATCTTATTATGCTCAAATACCATGCATATACATATAAAGCCTAAGAAAATGCCGTCTGGAAAACTACATTTTTCCTTTACCACTAGTAAACTGAGATCAATTTGCAATTAGTCTAAGTTTTCAAGTTTTTCTTTGTATCAAAGAATCATTTCAACTATGCATCCTTCGAATTCATGTCTATAACGCAAATGTTGAATCATGAAAGTATATATCAGTGACAAACCACGTAAAATGGTTAAATATTAATTTTATGAGTTATTAATGAAACTCGGATCGAGAACTTACAAGTTCACACATCGCTCCCTTGTTTGATCATTGAATCAAAAGCGTACGGTCATAAACGAGTTTTTTTGGCATCTAAAAAAGAATCTATATGATATTATCATGTTCTATTGAAATTATAAAACAATAGAGAAGATGAACCAAAAAGATCATGAGCTTAGGTTCTTTTTTTTTTTTTTTTTTCCAATTTTCACTAGTCGGTAAAATTGTAGGCATATCAAATTTACCTTGAGGGTACCACTGCAATGGTGGCACCGGAAGCAGGCCTTGTGGAAAACCCGGTTGTCGGCTGCCAACCGATCAACCAGATACACTGTATTGTTGCAGGCTGTGCACTTTTGTGTTGTTCCTGCAAATGCCATCGCTTCCCACTCTCCCCTCAAAACTGAAAGAACAAATTTAAGAGCAAAGAAGACAGAGAGACCAAGCCACTTACAGCTGCTCTCTTGCCAAAATCCTCTCTCTATATCTGTCTATCTCTCTCTCTCTCTCTCCTCACCTTTGTTCTCCATCCTCTCTATTAATCATTGATATAGAGGGTGGGGGGGGGAGGGGAGAGAGAGAGAGAGAGGGAGAGAGGGAGAGAGTGAGAGAGAGAGAATTGTGGATTGCCAGTGCATTGAGGGAGAGGGGTATAGATAATTATGTGGATGGTCACTTTGGAATCATCTTGTCCGAACTTAAAGCAATTCCATCCCAATATGTCAGAAGAAAAAATGAGAAGGAAATTAACAGAATAACCTGTCCAACATTGTTCCATATCTGGTGTATCACAAGGTAGCATGGTAAATTGTATCGAGGGCCATGATGCTGATGATAACCAACCGGTTGTCAAAATTCATTGATCCAATAGTCAAAATGATCTGTCTAGACCAATGGTAAAAATAGATGTACACAACAAGAAAACCTTTTTTTGCGGCGTCTTTTTTGTTCATGCATTTGAACATTATAACATAACATAAAATGAAATGATTTCTTTTTTTTTTTGCTGCTTAAAATAAAAATGAATTTATTCGAGTTGTTAACGAGCTATTTACCTTTAAAACAAAACGGGTTTATTCAAGTTGTTAACAAGTTATTCACCTTTAAATTTTATCTCGAATAGTGTTTTAGCCATTGCTTAAGAGTTCTATATTTCTTTCCCTTTAAGAATAGGTCAAATTCACCATTAAAAAATATATGTGATGTAATTAAAAAAAATCATGACTCATAAATTTCAAGAGTAATTGAAGTGGTAAAGGGACAAATTGTAAATTCAGATGCGTAAGTTGGCTCGAATACTCTTAACAGTTGAACCAAAAAAAAAATCAGGAATTGTTCATTTTTTTTTAAAAAAAAAGAGAAAATAAATATTTTTCTTTCCCAAAGTAATTAGATTCTTCTTAAAGGAATTGAAAAGGCCATAGTTTTCTTTTGAGAAAGATGGTGGACCTATACGATTTTGATTTCCCTCATTTCATCATTAACCACCTCATCGTTCAATTGGTCTCTTTTCTTTTCTTTCTTTTTTTTTTATTTTTTATTTTCATGAGCAATTATTTTATTAGAACAAATAAGATAACATTGAAGCTGGGTCTAGCATCATAATCTCAATTATTAAACATTTAGCCTATGGTTTGGTTAAGCAAAGCAAAGACCAAACATCATTTTTCTTTTTTATGACCAAAGAGAGAGAGAGAAAAAGACATGCAAGGGCACTTCGTCTAGTAGGACTAATAATTAAGCCGGGCTATTCAGGCTTAATTTGGATATAACTTGATTTGTTTTCTAAATTAGTCGAGTTTGAATAATATTTTAGACTTGTTTAAAAAACGAGTCTAAAAAAACACGATTCAAACTCGTAAAACTCGATTTGTTTGTATAAAAACTAGTCGAACTACTTGGGTTTGGCTCATTTTGAGCTTAATTCGGGCTTAACTCATTTTCTAAATGATTCGAGTTTAAATAATTTTTTATACTCGTTTAAAAAAATAAACTCGACAAGTTGGACATAATTATCGGCACTACCGTCTAGTGTTATGATTCAAATTTTTGGGTGCGTGAGGTCCCAAAGTTTGATTCTCGAAATCTTGGATGAGTACTGGTGAATTTTTTATTATCAACGCCACCAAGAAAACCACATCATAAATGAAATGCACTCACCAGCAACACGGCTAAAATGTCAATCCCAAAGAAAAACTTTTGAAACAGATGCATATAATAAGCTCTTTTTAAAAAATTATAAGGTTGTTTCATTGTAATTTGAAGGTTATTGGTTCAAATCATAAAAACAGTCTCTCTATTTACAGGGGTAAGACTTCGTACATCTAATCCTTTCCACCCGCAATACCAAAAGTATTGTTACGTCCTTCTTGAAAAGCCAATACATGACTGCAATTATACAGAATTTGCGTAGTAAAAAAAGAGAGACAGAAGGGTTTACCTTAGTTAGGCCCGGAATGCCCAATAAAAAAAAAACAGAGGTCCATTAGATATGTCAGGCGATCCCATGATCTATAGGAAGGGCAAGAAAGGATTTCACTAGTAAACCCTCCCTGAGGAAGGAAGGAACCGGGCTATCGCACCTAATGGCAGTTGTCTTTAATAGCCAAGGATTTCGAAAATATTCTAACCGACTTGGGGAACCACGTAATCATAACAATACAGACCATCCTATCCTAGTGTATAAAGAGACAAATTTTTGTCTCGCTCAGGACATGTGCGATTGTATTCTCAACAAACTGTAATCTTCTTTTTTTTAAGTAATACAAATCAAATGAACAAGAAATTTCATTAGAGTGGCTTTTCAAATTATTGAACTGCTTATCTCCTTGTGTCCTTGCTACTGCTATTATGCATACACACACCCACCCACTCACGTAGAGCTCATTGAAGATGGAAGAACCTTAACAAATATAATGCCTCTGGTCTATTAGAGTGATTCTCGCTTTGGGTACGAGAGGTCCCTAGTCCAATTCTCGCAATGCCCCGTATAGAGGGATTTAATATGCAGAAGCATTTTTAAAATCAAAGCAAAGAAAATCTTACATCTGGAGTGAGTTCTATAACAAAATCCACTAGTTAATCAAAGTGATCATTCTAGCAAATCATATAAGATCCTCCTAAGATACATGTAACTATGCAAAAGCTGCCAAAAATTTCCCATAGGATGCCATTTGCTGTGTACCAAAGGACTCAACATGTGGAAAGAGATGTTGAACCAGTCAAACTTATTAGGATTAATCTTATTTTACGCTTTGAATGGTATTTTGATTTTTAATTTGTACCCTCAAATATTAAAAATCTGAATTTACACTTTCAATGTTATGCTTTGGTAGTAATGTGGACCTGACCCATATTGCCGTTCTGTTTTCCATCATAAATTAAAACACGTGAAGTACAAGCGCTTCGAACATGAGGATGAGGTATGTCCATCACTGCAAATCTTTGTTTACGACAGTTTTATTTATTGAAAAAATAATTACATTAATCAGAGAAAGGCTAACCTTTATGCAATTCACATGAAGTGCTAACAGCCTATGAATTTACACATAAGTCCATGTCCGAATTCCTTGTAATTCACGTACTTCAATATATGATGGAAACTGAACGGCAATTTAGACTAACTCCACATTGCTTTTAATTTATAATACTGAGTGTGAAAATTGAGATTTTTAATATTTGAGGGTATAAATTAAAAATGGAAGTATCTTTCGGTGGTGTGTAAAGTGAGATTAGCCCTACTTATTAAACTAAGTTATTATTTGAATAACATCCAAGTATCAGTAGGTGGGAATTTGGTCTAGTGGTATGATTCTCGCTTTGGGTGCGAGAGGTCCCGAATTTGATTCTCGAAATGCCCCCAATTTCTTAACTAGTTATAGTTATTTTTCTCATCACTGTTTCATTTTTTGTAGATGTTTGTATTTATTTGAACATTATTTATTGAACTAATTTATTATCATTTTTTTTCTGGACACTATCAGAGTGATCTGATCTAAAGTCAATTAAGAAACTAAAACAACAGATTTTCATTAATAGAGAGATTTTTTTTGTTGAAAAGATTCTGCCTCAATGGATTAAGAAAGAAGCAAAGATTGGTAATCTAAATGGTTAGTCAAACCATTCGGGTTAATCACAAAAGGCAAAGATACATTATCTATCTTGTGTCTTTAGCAATTAAAAATCCATGAAATATCAAGGCTTTGTAGGTCAGCAGGCTGCTGAGATACCCAAGTGCAGGAATGGTGAAATATACTAGGATTGAAATTCGCACTGGTAGTCCAGTGATGTTGGGTTGGACGTAGGGCAAATTATAAATTCGAATGTTTTGGATTCGATTTTTACTTGTGACTCTTGAATTTAACGGATACTTATAATTAGCAATGATTGTAGATATCTAGATGTCTGAAACGAGTCCAAAAATCACTTGGAAAAGTATGTAGTTACCCAAAAAAAAAAAAAGAATATGATAGGATTGAAGTTACAATGTAAAAGTATATGAGATCCAAACCTCTATATTATATTTTCACTTAATTTTACTTTGTCGTCGATTACCCATCACGTACAAGTGAAGGACCAATTAATAAATAGTGAGTCTCATTTAAATCCATGATAAGTAATCGAACATTAAATGAAAGTATAATAGAGAAGATCTCGATAGTTAGTACATGATATACATGCTATTATTGTGACACCCCAAAGTCCGAGTGTCTGTAATTATCCGATTGATTATCCATCGACCTGTGTAATACTGGTGGATATCGTGTAATTTGATACCACACCGTTATGCCCCATTTTTTGGGATCCATAACTTAACAAAATTTGGACAGAATCTCCTTTGTACACGGAGCTCTACTCAAAACGCAACCTGTACAATATTAATCACACCGGGTCTATCTATCAATTCACAATTGTATAGTCTCGAATACTACCATAATCATTATCAGTACATACATTTATTCGTAAAAGAATAAATGTCCCAAAAAAAGTCTCATATACATGCCTTTGTAAATATAAACAAATGTTTGTTACAAAAATTATACAAGGCCAAAAATAAGTATAAACAAGGGACTACAATGTCAAAATAAAAGCCACAGACCGGCTCTGTCGTCAAAGCGGGCCCATGGCCTCGCCTTCGGTGGACGTCTGTGCGATACCTGAAAAATGTTCCCATAAAGGGTGAGCCAACGCTCAATAGGGTAACTCCTATAGAGAATACCTCTCAACCTAAATGCATATGGAATGTCACATGCAACAATCATTTGATACATTCATTTAAATATATCTATTATAATTGAATGTTATAGATCATGTCATGCCATGAGATGAGACTCACGCAAGCAATACCAACCCCGAGCCCCATCCTGAGCTCCCATAACACATGCAATGTCATGCGTATGTATCCGAGCATTCCAAGCCCCCATCATTGGTGTTATGTACACTCAATGACTAATTAATTCATTTTCTTGTGTCTTTGTGGGGAGGTGATTTATGGTATTACACCAATGGG